TAATCAACCCAAATTATGTGAGAAAAACCGTTACTATTGTATATCCCTATATAAGGACACATAATTCTATTTGTAGAGACATATCTGAGACAATATTGAAATATACTCTTTACTTTTCTGCTTTCTCGGAATTCTCTACCTTGACTTTGCAATTTGGCTGTCAATTATTTCCTTAGTTATTCTTATTATTGCCTTTGATATTATTGAGAAAGTGAAGTAAAACTTGGTTATCAGTAACCCGTTTTCTTCTAAAATTAGATTTTATCAAATGACATATTTTTGGTTAAACAGGACATGATGGAGTTTTCTGATTTTTTGTCCCTTAAAATACGATTTTTTTTATATTTAAATTATTTTTGGAACTAGATTATCCTAAAAAAGGATTAATCGTACAAATTTAACATAATACGAGTGACTGAATGATTTAAAAGCTACTGATTCTTTAAATTTAATTTAAAAGTACAGTATTTAATTAGTTGAAGGTCAAGAATACTTATCCAAATATCACAAAGCCTAGAATAATGGAGTAGTTTGACAAAAAAAAAATGTAGTACTAGTAATTTATCAACAATATTCTCCGGAACTAAAAGCACAAGCTTCCCTCGTTTAAAAGGAAAAGAAAGCACCCGGATCATGATCCGCGTCGAAAGTGTAACTCCAATCATTGCCGTTCGTCCATTTGGTTTAAAATCCGACGGTCCAGTTCCACCCGCGCCGAAAATTTCCCCAAAAGTCTCAAAATTTCATCTTCCTTCCTCCACATTCCACACATCCATCTTCTTTCCCTATATATTCAGTAACCCTTCAACTCTTTCCCTACACAAAATCACAACTTCTACACCATTCTCAAGCTTTTCCACTCTTACAAAAATCCTTTAAAAATGGCAAGAACCAAACAAACAGCACGTAAATCCACTGGAGGAAAGGCACCAAGGAAGCAACTCGCAACAAAAGCCGCCAGAAAATCAGCTCCGGCAACCGGAGGAGTGAAGAAGCCCCACCGTTTCCGTCCAGGTACAGTGGCACTTCGAGAGATCCGTAAGTATCAGAAGAGTACTGAACTTCTGATCCGAAAACTCCCATTTCAGAGACTGGTAAGAGAAATAGCACAAGATTTTAAGACTGATTTGAGGTTCCAGAGCAGTGCTGTGGCGGCGCTTCAGGAAGCAGCAGAGGCGTACTTGGTGGGTTTATTTGAGGATACCAACCTGTGTGCTATTCATGCTAAGAGGGTTACTATTATGCCCAAGGATATTCAGTTGGCTAGGCGGATTAGAGGTGAAAGGGCTTAGTGTATTTTTGTTTGCAGTTTGGGTTTTGTTTTTAGGTTGTCTTTTTGCTGTAATGTAATGAAAGATTTGAAAATGAAAATCTGGAAAAGATTGCTCGTTGATGGGAAAGTGTTAATTTCTTCAGCTAACTATTTAATCTTCCCTTATTTTAGTCCGAGTTTTGCTAGTGAGTACTGTGATAATATGAATTAAAATTTATGATTCCGTTAGAATGTCATTTTGAACTCACTTTTTCCTCTGCTAATTTGTTGGGCGAATTCAAAAGTTTTCTTTTTGTTTTAGGGTATGATAATATAATCTCAATATTTTCTACAGCTGATTAGATTCTGCTAACTTAATACCTACTGAACTCTCACTAACTAAAACAATCATCTTCAACTGGAATAGAACTGAGATAATAATCTATTGTATGCAGTCCTTTTAGAGGTCGTTTGGTTTGAATTACCCTTATGCCTATTGTTTTTTATTTACTGATTGGTATGTTATATTAAAAAAAATCAGTAGCATTGCATAATTTTTAAAAAGAAGTTTGTTCACAAAAATACTCTCCATCTAAATCAGCCTCCATCTTCTTGTTCCTTTATCCATTGATGTACGTCAATTTCCAATTCTTACATTAACAGGTATTAAATAATTTTTTGAGGCTCTAGTTTTCAATTGTTTAAATTATATATGCTGATTTCTTCTTCTAAATCTTTTTCCTAACTTTAATCCCTGTTTCCTTCAGATGTAAGATAGCTAATTGCCATGTGTAATACTACTGATTTTTTTGTCTTCTCAATTTTCATAGGATTTGTTGCGATTAAAAAAAAAAAAAATCCACATTAGAGGTTCAAACCAAGATCCACTAGTTGGCCAGAAAGACATAACCAAAACTATAGAATTTAGAGGCATCAAAAGCATAGTTAAGCTAAAAAGAGAAATTGAAGAATTGTCAGAGTAGTAATATAATTACATATGCACTTAACATTTACACTAGAATAAAGCTATTTAACACACATTAGTTACACAAAAAATATAGCATTCTCGGGCCCACCAATCATAAACAAAAGAGTATGGACATAACCCGAGGTATCAAAAATAGCGCTACAATTTAATTTTAAAGTTGTTAGTCGAGCAAAAACTATCAAACTAGTGCCACCACATATACAGAACTTTACCATACTTAATAGTTTACCATTGACAATCATGAACATCATTGTTTGGCATTCAAGTTCACCCATACGTAAAAACAATTCCATCTTTCTGACGTCTTCATAGAGAATCATTGTAGCTTTGATACGTTCTTGTACAGAACACAACTCAAATGCGGGAGATTTAATGATGGGATAAATTTCACCACGAATATCGATCGGTCACGATCCCCAATCTCATCAATCAAGGCACCCATTCTTTTATCTTGACTTTCAATAAAGTTTTTCATAACTTCCGTCATACCCTTAAGAAATGTCTCACTAGAATCCTCCACAACCCTTTTCCTTTTCTTGCTTTTCTCTTTTTCATTAAAATTAGAAGAGGACCTATTAGCATGCTCACCTTGTTTATGATTTTGTTGGAATCCTGCATGTTCATTTTCATATGCTCCAGCACATTCATGTATGATGCTCTAGTATCATTCTTTAGTAAAACTAGGTGCAACATAAGCATTTTCAGCTTCTCCAGTAGCTATATTAGGTCCATCACCAACATCATCTTCTTCTTCTTCATCAACATCAATTGGCCATCCTAAGCTCATGTCATTAGAAAGTCCTGAAGCTTGACTCTTTAGAATATCCTCAGTAGCAGCTAGTGGCCTTTCTGCGAACAACTCCCGTTGCTCTATCCTTGCCAAAAATTTCCTCCCAATCCTCAAACATTGGTCATTTATGAGAACAACTCTCAAGCACTCATTGAAAGCTTGACTTACGCTCCAACCCGATCTAACATAGTCAACCTTTTTTAATCTATTCTTCTCATGATGAGCCAAGACATTTAAGAACACTGCTAACATTTTACTACTTAGACATATTTTTACTATCAGTCAAACCTCCAATTTCCTTAGTTAAGAGAACTAAAGTGTGAAAGGAATTTCTATCCATTCTTAACTTATCAATACATGCAATATTACTGTCATGTATGATACAATTCAAATGAGACATAATTTTAGGAATTCGAACACTCATACGGTACCTAATCACACGCCTATTTCTATGTTGTCTTTTTATAGAATGACCATAAATAGTCATGAAAAGAATTAATATACAAAAAATTTCAATTAGAAAAAGAAATCTATGAGCAAAAGTTTATAATTTTCAAGCCCATAAAGAGAAACAAATGAACCCAACGAATATTTGAAACGAATATTTGAAAAGAAGCTAAACTAAGATTTCATAATCAACATAAAGAGAGAAGGGCTAATAAATGGTAGAAGACAATCCACAACTGTGATTTTTACAAATTGCAGCTCTTTCACACATAGCTAGTACTCTTTCATATATTGCAGCTCTTTTGGCACTACATATTGAGTTTGAAAGGCTATGATTTTCCTCAATTATTTGCTAAATCAAATTCAGCAAAACAATTACGTAGCATTCATAAGAGATCAGATTTTTACTATTTTGGTAGAGAAGAGGACTGTACCCAAATTATGCAACAAAGAACTGAAAAATAATAACAAGAAAGAATAAGAGAAATAGGTTTTGATAGAAGTTTTAATCTAGTGAGAAAAGCAAAATGGAAGATAATGTCAAAGTTGTTCTTCAATCGCTACAACATAGCTGCTGCATCCAAAGAAGAGAAGAAATCTTCCCAAGAGCCGAGAAATTTGTAGCGGCGTTGCTTTACCAATGTTGGGTAAAGAATGGGAAAAGTGATGTAGAAAAATAGTTTGAGGACCTTAGGGCTACTTTGGTGAATTTCGCTATTTTGTGGTGGGATAATAATCCCAGCATTAATTATCCCACCTCCTGAGAGGTATAAGTTATCACGATATTAATTTTAATACGGGAATAACTTATCCCAAGTTTGGTAACCAAACAAGGTATAGGTGGTACTAAATTTTTATACCAGCACTATTTTTACTTATCCCTCGTACCAAACGAAACCTTAATGTTTATAGCACTAGGCAGGGGAGATTACTTCTTTCAAGATCTTGAAATGGAGGGCGGAGATCAGCATCCAAACCTCATTTCTGGAATTCACTTTGTTGCTTGAATAGTGGCAGTAAGATGTGATGAATATTCTAATCCAATGATAATATTATAGCCAGAGGCTCTGTAAATTCGGGTATAAGGCTTTCCTTAATGGCAATCAATGTCAGTAGTTCTATCTCAGACGAGTTTCCAATCATTCAGAGCACATGCGACTTCCACTGGAGCAAACTACAGATGTAAAACTTAATTGATGAAGCTCTCCCACTGAAAAAGGAGGATCAGCTCAACCTATGCATTTAACATGCAAAATTCCCTGGTTAAGGAAAACCCCTATGTAAGCAACAACACGTAGAAACCCTTCATATCCGAGAGCTAATAGTAACAGCCAATATATATTATGGTCAGAATCCGTATTATCCTCTTTTTTTTTTTTTTTTTTTTCCTGAATTCTGATAAATAGCCATGTAATTTTCTTTTAAACAGAATTATATATAACTGCATTTCTGACAGCAAGTACTTGTTTCACCAAACAAGTATATAAGGTTCACTCACAGTTAACTTCTCAAACAGAAACTTATGATGGGGGAAAGATAGTAAGCTCGAAGTCTTCGTAACTAATGTTATCTAAAGCCCAGGTGTTAAAAACAGATATGGTTAAGCATCAAATTCACAGGTTTGAGCATGGTTTCTATGTCTCAGAATTTGAAGGCCAATAATGAAAGTGGTACTCAAGGTGAACAGGAGTCTGGATAACAAGACTCCAAGGAGTCTTTTGTGGCGAATACAAGAAAACTCTAGCTTTCGTTCCATGTTTTTAACAAAATTGCACTCATTCAACCCTCCTCTTTCCCTGCACAGCAAAGAAAGAGAGAAAGTCAGGCTCCTAATTTCAAGGTCTTGATGAAAAAGTTTATATTCATCACTATTTCTCCAACGTGTACAAGTCTGCTAGCATATGAAATACATAGGCTCCATAGCAAGAAGCAAACAACAGAATGAAGGAAAAGATATCAAGGAATTCGAAGTCATTATAACGATGTCACCTCTTTTCCAGTGCCCGGCGCCAAAACCCACTGGTCGGCACAGTAATGGGAGAGAGCTAGAGAGGATTAACGGGAAATGGGTCAATCTTGCTAGGAATGGGCAGGAGGAGCTACAACCAATTTCCTTAAATATACATGTATCATCAATTTGTAAATTTCTACAGTATTAAAAAGAGGAAAGCAATCTTTTGACTGGAAATGCACATGATCTTGTTGGCAGGCAAGTCTAGCTTTTCAAGAGGAGATTCAGATTCAATAACAATAATTGCTAAAATGGATACATCCAGTAATTGTCATTTCATTGTTTGCAATGCCTTAAGAATCTTATGCAATATGCTGCTATAACATACCTAGTGAAGATTACCCGAGGAAGATAAATAGCCCAAATTCAGATATTATCCTTTCTATTTATGAAGAAGCATCATAAATGGATAGATTTCAAATAGCAAGGACATTTGATGCTAGCACAAGAAAGATGCATCAATCTCTTTGACATTATTAGACTTAGATCCTCTTCTCACACTTGTGCCATCTTCTTCATGATTTAGGGGCTAGGATGTTTCAAGAAGAATCTTTCAATTGGAACTAAAAGCATCGAAACAAGATTAAAATAACAACGTTCAAACCTACGCTTTTCTTTTAAAAGGAACTCTTTGGAAAAATATATAAGATTATATCTACACCTAACTAAACTGAGAGAAGTAACAAACTTTCCATCCCCCCCCCCCCCCCCCCCCCCAAACCCCCCAAACAAAAACTCGACGGAAAAATACTTCAGTACACAGTGACAGATCACATTTTCAGTTTGATCAGTAGAGTATAACCTCTGGATTGTGTCTGTCATAGCCCCAAGTTTTGGTAAATACAAATTGAAAAGGCCTCAACTTTTACATCTACAGATGCTCAGGAATGCTGATTTAGTGGAATCCTACATGAAGAATCTACTATAAATCACATGGTTATACCTTTGCTATATATACCCATACTTCAAACTTGATCCGAGTTTTTACTTAGGAAAAAAAAAAAAGATACGTTTCATTAAGAATGACACGAAGCATATAAAATATGAAGATGGTGTGAAATGAACTATTCCCCACTTGTGAGAATTCACTGGTTTTTTTGTTGTTGAAGGTGTGTAATGAACTATGCAAGTGGCATAAAATCTCTTTATCCTTCTATTTCCTGAGACGAGAAAATTGAGTCCTTAAGTCTCATGACCTTTCAACGGCAAAAGACAGGTGTACAAAATAAATTGAGCAGATTACCTGCTGATATATATCATCAATCAGAATTGGCCAATCTTTCTTTTAAAACAAACTAGAAAAGGAACGAAAGAAAGGAGTTGATGTTAACAGTTTCTTTTGGGTCATCCTCTAAGATTTTCTTGGGTAGGGCAACAGGGAGAGACATAAGGAGATAACATAAATAATCTAGATTAATCAGTATATAAGGCAATAGCAAAGGATATTTAACTTTATAAATTTTGGTGCTCATAGCAACATATAACTCCCTAAGGCTCAATTGCCTATGGACATAATAAGATCTGCATGTAATACTGATAAACCTGTATCACTGATGTTAGTATGGGTATGTTACTACTTCCGTTGCTTATGGAGCATTGTCATCAAACAGTACTTTGTAAAACCGCTTCCTCTCTTCTGGATCAAATATGCCGCCTAGATCTCCTCCTCCTTCCTTATCTTGTTCTGATGTTTCATCGCTTTGGTTCCTTCTTTTCTCTGGCTTTGGCATTATCATGCCTTTATTCCTCTTCTTTTCTAAATTCAATAGGTAATGTCTGCGATTATATTCATGGAGTCCCTCCTGCATTAATTCTCCAAACTTCTCCTTAACAACAACAAGAGGGTCCTTTTCGATCAGTTCTGACCCATTATATGCTTCCCTGAGGAGAACTGTATAGGTCTGGTATCTGTTAGAAACATAGAATATTCCAGGATGTTTGAGCAGAAAAACATTTAATTTCTCTGGTAAACATAATTCCCTTCTAAAATGGCCCAATTTGAAAATTGATGCCTTTTTCCACAAGGTCAATGACAGTAATTCATGCACTACCCCCACGGTTCTCTTGTCCATTTCCTTTGAGCCCTCCACTAAACCATTAAGTCCCAAATAAGGTGAAATATATGGAGTAGAATTAAAGTCTTCAAATCTTTCCCATGATTTGACCCAAGTCGGAGGCAAAGAGCACGGGAAACCTGGCTCTCGACCATCCTTCATGGCCTTTCTTTCGATTGCAGAAACAGCTAAATCAGGCTTCCAGGCTGTGAGCTCAATCTCCATTGAACTCCGTCTCCCGGTGTGGTTAACAACTCTAAATATTTGAGGGTACTTGGGTACAATCCTGAGCAAATAATCATCAGGAAATCCAAAATTCCTCCTCAACTCGTTAAGTTTCATAACATTCAGCCTTCGATCACGGCTCATCATCAACAACTTTGTTAATCGCTCAGCATATATCGGTTCCTGCATATCCTTAACAGACTCTTCCTCTTCAGTCAAAAACATCATTCTTTTAGTCAGCCCACAATAGTACTCATCATTCTCAAGGTAGACTTCAAAGCAACAAGGATACTTTTTTAGCCAATTTAGAGCTTTGCCTTGAAGATCAAGAGTCTTGAACTTCTTCTGCAGGTATTTTACTGATGCAACCTGGTTAGGACATCTCATAACAATGTTCTTAATCTGATTATTCACTATCCATCGACGGTTTCTATGTAATGCAGCTTCAAGATCTGGATCTTTCTTCATTGACCAAAGAGAAAACCTTCGCCGAATACGAAGACTAAACATTGCATCCCACAAACTCAAGTACCCATTTCTCTGGCTTTTCACATAAATCTGAGTTGCCATTCCTAATCAGCACTTACATATATACCAACTAGTAGGGGCGGATGTACATATGCAGTATGAGATGCGAGTTCGGTCGAACATAGTAATTTTGGCTCACTCTTATATGTACAAGTATCAAATTTCGAACCCAGTAACTCAAATGGCCAGTGGGTTCAGTGCGTTCCCGAACCCATAAAGTTCAAATTTTGGATCAGATTATTACGGACTCAAAAAAGTAAATAAAATCAACATGACTTGTCTTTTAAGCTCTTATTTAAGAACCCCATTAATTTAAATAGTAGAATAACATCAAAACATCAACCAGATACTCTGCCACTACTGCCACGGAGAACATATGAAATCAAATTAGTTTCACTTGAAGGCTACTGTATATTGAACCCAATTGCTCAAATTTGTAGAATCATATGAAAATATGCAGCAAAGATGAATTCTTGCTGGCTAATAAGAAATGAGGATGTCAGTAGATTTATCAATCAACTCAAATTTTATTTAACGGACCTTTATAAGGAAGGAAAAGCATAAAGCAATTCTTCAGCAATTCTCAGAAGGAGACTTCAATTTTCTTATGGGGCGGCTTTAAGAACAGACATTTTCATTCGTCTATCTCTTTCTTGTTTTGCCTCACACACCTCGAACAACATCATCGTACGTCTTTTGACAAACTACAGAGCAGAGATTTTCTTCTACCGTACTACTTAAAATCCCTTCTATTTCGGCTATCTTAATTCCTAATTTAGACGTATGGATGGCAAACGGAGCGGGTCAAAGCGGATCTGGTGAAGTTTTATCGGGAAAGTACATAAATAGCCATTTTTAGGGCTGTTATTTAGGGATTAGCCACATGAAATTTGAAATAAATTTTTTAACTTCAGGACTTTATATCCTGAAAAATTGAACTTGAAAACTAAAATACAGGACACACTGGCTAATTGCTAAATAACAACCTCTAGAATGACTACCTAGTGTCATTTTTACAAGTTTTGCGAGAATGGGTAAAAATAGCACAGTTTAACCAGTTTTCGGACCGGTCATCAAAAATAGCCAGCGTTTACCAAGTCAATGAAAAATAGCCACTATTTTGCTGCAACAGAGACCGGTCCAGCATAATATACTGGAGTTCGGTGCACCTGTATATGAACTCCAGCATATTATGCTGGAACTCCAACACACGGAAAGTTCCAACATAATATACTGGAGATTCGAGCACTTATGTATGAACTTCCAGCATATTATACTGGACCGGTATACTTTGTTGGAACTCCAGTATATTATGCTGGAGTTCTAGTGTATTTATGCTGGAACTCCATCATATTATGCGGGAGTTCTACCATATTTATCCTGGAACTCCAGTATAATATGCTTGAGTTCATGTATAATTATGCTGGAACTCCAGCATAATATACTGGCGTATTTTTTGGGTTTTGAACAGTGTTTTCGCTCAAATTTATCTTTATATAAAAAGTGGCTAAATTTCAATTACTTTTGAAACTGGCTATTTTTGAACCACCACTTGTAAATCTGACTATTTTTAAATTTCTCTCCGAAAATGGGGCCGAGCGAACTTTCATGGTTTCCTTTTTTTGAGGAATTTACACATAATACAACCTTCTTAAAACTAATTTAAAAGAATTACAGTTGCTTTCAGAAAATTACATAAAATATAATTTTTTATAATTTTTTACTTTTTAATTAAATCATATACAACTTTTCATATCCCTTAAATATCTCCATTAAAGCCACTTAAATAGGAAACTCAAATCATTTTTGAGTATTCAACCTATTTTAAACTTATCAACTACTCTCTCTGTCTCCAATATACGTTGTTTTGCCATGCTTAGGTGGAGAAATCATTTTTATCTTTCTCTTCCACAAGCTCATAGGCATAACATTATTTTTTGTTTTTACTAAACTTTTTTCTTTGCCAAAATTGCCTAATCACGAACTTATTTTTCAGTCTCCACTAATCTATTCTTTCTACGAAAAATGTTCAAAAATACCCATGAACTATGATTTTTGGATTAAAAATACCCTTCTTCCATCTATTGAATTAAAAAAAGCCCATAAGTTTTTTCCGTGGGTTAAAACTTAAAACTGCCTTTCAGCTTAACAGAGCTGATGTGGGTCTTCAAGTGAGTTACGTGGCACAGTGTTATTGGTCCAGCTAGATTAACTTACCCATCATATATCCGACCCATAATATAATACCCGACCCAAAGTTAATACCCGAATACTAATTAAACCAAAACCCACCCAAATTACTCATTCTTCTTCTGTGCAGCTAGGGCTCCAAAGTTCCTGCTTTTTATTCCTCTTCTTTCTTCTTCCTCTTCAATATTCCCTCTTCTTTCCCATGCTAGATTCTCTGATTAAAGTAAGTATTTATATTTTTGGTATGTAAAGTTCTGGGGTTTTGAAATTTTTGGTTGTTTGACTTTTATCTATTAAAAAATGGAATCTTTGACTGTTTTTAGGCTTTGTTTATAGTTTATTGTATGTAAAAGCTATAAAATTATGGTGGTGGGGTTTTTATTTCAATACATTATCGTCCCTTGTTTGTCTTATGCCATTGATTCTTGCGTATATTAATGCTTTGAATATAACTTAACGTGCTTTCTTTTTTGTGTTTTATGCCGCATGTGGTCTTTGCAGAATGGTTGAAAAAATAGATTTGATTTTTAATTATGGGTCAGTGGGTGAGAAAACCACAGCCGGTATACAGTAAAAAACTTATTCACGTGTGGAGAAGTTACGAAGCAGATTTTTTGTCTTACATTGATATTTATAAAGAATTCATGAGTGAGAAGTTAGGGTATATTGAGGTGAAGCAGCTTTTACTGATTGGACCATCTGGTAGATATTATGTGGTAGTAGGAGATGAAGGTGTTAGAGCTCTCCAAAGTTTACTTTCAGATCAGTTTTAAATTTTGAACTTATTTGCGGTAGACAAATATGAAGAAGATATCGTGTCTGTTCCGAATATTATTCACTTCCATGAGACTTATAGTGTTAATGTAGAACCTGGAACAGATTGTGATCGTAGTGAGGATGATGTGGATGATAATTTTTTGTCTAGTGAAGAAGATGATAGAGAAGAAAGGTTGGAAGTATTCAAAAAGCAAAGGACACTTGGTATCACTGAAAAGCTTGAAGAGTACAAGGTTTTGGAGAAAGGTATGTCCTTTAAAAATCAAAAGCTGCATTGCGTAGAGTACAACATTACATCACGCCAAAATAACTTTCATTTAAACACCAATCTATATCATTACAAGCAGAAAAATCTGCATTTTAACACCAAAATAGCAACATGAGACTACCAAAAACTGGAGTACTACATAGCAGATTTGTACTGCATTTAAAAACCTGTGATGACCCAAAATGTCATCACTTGTTTTTAAATTTAACTCTGTATTTCCGAGGCCTTGAGAACCTCTTTTAGCCTCCCCTCGATTTGCGTGCGCAGTTCGGGCGCGTAGCCGAAAAGCTTAAATACGAAAATCTGTGAAAAATGGTAAAAATTGGCTATAAAATGAGTTAATTTGACTTCGGTCAACATTTTGGGTAAACAGACCTGGACCCGTGACTTGACGGTCCCGAAGGGTCTGTAGAAAGATATGGGACCTGGACGTATGCCCGGAATCGGATTCCGAGGTCCCATGCCCGAGAAATGAATTTTTAAAGGAAATTGTTTTCTGAAATATGTTTAAGGAAATTTGAAATGAAATTTGATTAGAACGTGTTGGTATCGGGCCCGTATTTTGGTTCCGGCGCCCGGTACTGGCCTGATTTAAGATGTTTCTGTAAAATTTGGTGAAAAACGGACGTCGTTTGACGTGATTCGGACTTGAATTGCTAAAGTTGATGCTTTAAGAAGTTTGAGAAAAATGCTTTGATTTTGAGGTTTTATTTGTTGATAATGATGTTATTTTGGCGATTTGATCGCACGGATAAGTTCGTATGATGTTGTTGAGTTAGTACGTGTGTTTGGTTAGGAGCCCCGAGGGCTCGGGTGTCTTTCGGATGTGTTTTGGGAAGTTTTGAGTTTAAGAAAAGTTGCAGATTTTCTGCAGTCAGTGCCCAGGGATTTTACCCTTTGCGTTCGCGTGGTACCACTCGCGAACGCGGAGCCTTGGGGGATTTCTCATCGCGAACGCGACCTGTGTGACGCGAATGCGTAGGGTCATGGGGGAGGGGTCACCATTTGTGCATCGTGAACGCGACATTTGGTCCGCAAACGCGAGGGCTCGAGAAGCTAAAGCTTCGCGAATGCGAGCCTGTCTACGCGAACGCCAAGGCTGCCCAGCCTGACCTATCACGAACACGAAGGGCAATTTTGCCCAGTTATTTTAAAGTCCCAAAACAGAACCCATTACGGATTTTCGTAAAATTTCATAAACCCTTTCTTCTCCAAAGCTCCTAGGCGATTTTTGAAGCACTTCTTCACCAAAGCTTCTTGGGTAAGTAATATTTAACTTGTTTCTTTTATTTTCCATTAACACCCACTAGAGTTCTAGGCCTAAAACATGTAATTAAGGGTAGGAAATTAGGGATTCGGGTAGAACTAGGAATTTTTGATTAATGGTGATTTAGACCTCGTTTTGGGGTCGAATTCTGAAAATAATATATTTGGGCTCGTGGGTGAATGGGGGATTTGATTTTGATCCGAACCTCGTGTTTTGACCAAGCGGGCCGGGGTCGATTTTTGGATTTTTGGGAAGAATGATTGGAAAGCTATAATTAGGCATTGGATTCAAATTATTTAGCATTTATTGATGTTATGAAGTCATTTATGTACAGATACAATTGATTTGGAGCCGAATTCGAAAGGAAAGGCAGTAATTGGGGATTGAGTTGGCCGTGAAGTTTGAGGTAAGTATTTGGTCTAACCTTAGCTTGAGGGATTAGGAGTTGAGTCTTATTTCCTATGTGGTAATTGTTGAGTACGACGTATAGGCATGGTGACGAGTATTTATACGTTGGTGTCCAGCATGCTCGTGAGTCTTTATATTGTGATTATCATGACTTCGTTGTATCTTTCATGCCTTGGTGATGGTTTCTAATTGTTGTATAAAGTTTGTGGAAAGAATTGTGACCTATGAACCTTGAGGAGCGTTGGCTCATGTTGTATAACGAATTGTGAAAGTATAAGTGACAACTGAACTTTTAGAACATTGGCTCGAGTTGTGAAATGAACTGTGAAGGTAAAAGTGATAATTGAACCTCTAGAGCATTGGCTCGAGTTGTGAGGTGAATTGTGAAGTGAAGTGAGAAAGAGAAGAGATCATTATGTTGTCACCCTTTCGGGCTATTGTTGGTTTATTCGTTATCTCCCTTGTCGGGATGTGGATGTTATTGATGTTGGTCCCTTGCCGGGATTCTTGTTGCAAATTTTCTTTATTTCCTTACCCTATTGTTTGTGATTGTTGTTTGGATGAGGAAGAGCGTAAAACACAAAGGGTGATGCTGTGCATTGTTTGTTTCGTGAGGAAAGAGTGTAAAGCTCGAAGGGTGATGCCGTGCCGCACGATGTACCATTTCGTGCCTATTATATTGATTTCATGGTGAGGAAAGAGTGTAAAGCACGAAGGGTGATGCCGTGCCGCACGATGTACTATTTGGTGCCTATTATATTGATTCGTATGGTGAGTACGAGAGTAAAAGCACGAAGGGTGATGCCGTGCACTTGTCCTTGATTTCCCTGATTCTTGCTGATAATTGAGTTACATTGTCCTTTACGTTTATTTGCTGATTTTCTGTTGTTACTTGACGTTATTTCGAGGTTATAGATTTCCTTATCCTATTTGCCTTGTGATTGTTGTTTGGGTGAGGAAGAGCGTAAAGCACGAAGGGTGATGCCGTGTATTGTTTTGGTGAGAGAGAGTACAAGCACGAAGGGTGATGCTGTGCACTTGTCTTTGATTTCCTAAATTTTATTGATCGTTGTGTTACGGTTTATCTACACTAAATTGCTGGCTTCCTGTTGATACTTGTTGTACCCCGCAGCATGATTTTCCCTTCCTACTTTCAATTAAACCGTGGTGATCCTCATACTTATTTGTTGCTCTTCTGATACTATTCGGTGTTTCCCCGCAGCATGTTTTCCCCCTCCCATCCTTACTTCCTTATACTTGCTTTACTTTTCGCTGTATATTATATAACTGCATAGATTTATTTGATAGTCTGGTCCTAGCCTCGTCACTACTTCGTCGAGGTTAGGCTAGGCACTTACCAGCACATGAGTCTGTTGTGCTGATACTATACTCTACACTCTTTTGTGTAGACCCCAGTGTTGTAGACTTCGGACCGCGGTGGGATTGTTGATACTTGCTCATCAGGCGACCCGAGGTAGTCCTGCAGGCGTCCACAGGTCTTGGCGTCTTCTTCTACCTACCGTTCCTGTTTCATTTCCCTTATATTCTAAAACAGTGTATTATTATTTCTTCAGACTTTGTATGTAGTAAATATTAGACCGTCTGTGGCACCGTGATACCAGATTTTGGGTGGTTAAGGATTTAGTATTTGAATTAGTTATAGTTTTCATATATTTTATCGTTGTTTTCTACTTGAATTTAAACTTTAGCTATTATCATGTATTCGCTTTATAATTGTTAAAAAAAGAAATAATTGGTTAATGAAGTATCTGAACTAAAGGTTTGGCTTGCCTAGTTCACATTAGTAGGCGCCATCACGACTTCCAAGGGTGGGAAATTCAGGTCGTGACAAGTTGGTATCAGAGCTCTAGATTACATGGGTCTCGCAGTTCACAAACATGCTTAGTAGAGTCTGAGGGATCGGTACGGAGACGTCTGTATTTACCCTCCAGAGGCTACAGAGTTAGGAAATGTTTCACTTCTATTCTTCCTTGTCGTGCGATTTTGTTCTCTCAAATGCTAAATTGAAACCTCTACTCTTGTCCTTTTGCGAATGGTGAGGTCATGTATCGCTTCTTCAGCCGAGCATCAGGTCAGATTGGTGATAGATCAGCTACGTCTTCGGAGGCCTTGTGGAGGTTGGATAAGTTTCACCAAGCTCTTCACTACTACTTTCTGCGGTGCATCTTCTAAGGATCTCCAATATTGTCTAGACAGTTGTCATGAGGTTCTAGAAACATGGGGATAGTTGAGACCAGTGGGGTCAATTTTGCTACTTTTCGCTTGTCTGGATCCGCCAAGACTTGGTGGAGAGATTACTGCTTGACTAGACCAGCCGGATCGTCAACTTCGACTTGGGAGCAGTTCACGCAGCTATTTCTGGAGAAGCTTATCCACATCACTCAGAGAGGGGTATTAGAGGGGGAGGTAGAGGTATTAGAGGTGGAGGTAGAGATGCTAGAGGTGGAGGTAAAGGTATTAGAGGTGGAGGTGCAGTTATTGTTCTGGTTTGTGGTAGAGAAGCTTCGATTTTATTTTGCGCCGTATCTGGTCATGCCTAGTGATTCTTTGAGTGCCCATGTTTATGTGTCTACGCCGTTGGGTGATTTTATTGTGGTGGATTGCGTCCATTGTTCATGTATAGTGGTTATTGGAGGTCTTGAGACTCGTGTAGATTTGCTTCTTCTGGACATGGATGATTTCGGTGTTATATTAATGGACTGGTTACCACCTTACGACGCTATCTTGGACTGTCATGCCAAGACTGTGACCTTAGCCTTACCGGGTTTGCCTCGTTTAGAGTGGAGAGGGACTCCTGTTCATTCTACCCGTAGTGTTATCTCGTATGTGAAGGCTCGGCGAATGGTCGAGAAAGGGTGTTTGGCCTATTTGGCTTATGTTCGCAATTCTAGTGCTGAGGTCCCTTCTATTGATTCCGCGCCCGTTGTTCGTGAGTTTCTTGAGGTGTTCCCTTTCGACCTGCCGGGTATGACACCCGACAGGGATATTGACTTTTGCATTGATTTGGCTCCGGGCACTCAACCCATTTCTATCCCGCCGTATCGTATCGCCCCGCCTGAGTTGAAAGAGTTAAAGGAACAGTTGCAGGACTTGCTTGAGAAGGGTTTCATTAGACCCAGTGTTTCTCCTTGGGGTGCGCCGGTGGTGTATGTTAAAAAGAAGGATGGGTCGATGCGAATGTGTATTGATTACCGGTAGTTGAACAAGGTTACAATCAAGAATAAGTATCCATTGCCGAGGATTGATGATTTGTTTGATCAGCTTCAGGGTGCCAAGGTATTTTCGAAGATTGACTTGGGATCTGGCTACCATCAGTTGAGGATTAGGGCATCCGATGTCCCTAAGATAGCTTTCCGCACTCGGTACGGGCATTATGAGTTCTTGGTTATGTCATTCGAGTTGACAAATGCCCCAACAGCTTTTATGGATTTGATGAACCGAGTGTTCAGGCCTTATTTGGATTCGTTCGTGATAGTCTTCAGGATGATATTTTGATATATTCCCGCAGCCGAGAGGAGCACGAGCGGCATTTTAGAGTGGTTCTTCAGACTTTGAGGGATAGTCAGTTGTACGCCAAGTTTTCGAAGTGTGAGTTCTGGTTGAGTTCAGTTGTATTCCTGGGTCATGTTGCATCAGTAGAGGGTATTCAGGTTGATCCGAAGAAGATTGAGGCAGTCAAGAACTGGCCTAGACCAGCATCAGCTATAGAGATTCGGAGTTTCTTGGGATTGGCAGGCTACTGTCGTCGGTTCGTGGAGGGGTTTTCATTTGTCGCAGCCTCGATGACCAGGTTGACCCAGAAGGTGGCCCAGTTCAGGTGGTCGGACGAGTGTGAGACGAGCTTTCAGAAGCTCAAGACAGCTCTAACTACGGCACCCGTGTTGATTTTGCCCACAGGTTTAGGGCCTTATACAGTTTATTGTGATGCTTCTCGCATTGGACTTGGTGCAGTGTTGATGCAGGATGGCAAGGTCATTGCCTATGCTTCGCGACAGTTAAAGATTCATGAGAAGAACTATCCGGTTCATGATTTGGAGTTGGCAGCCATAGTTCACGCATTGAAGATTTGGAGGCGTTATTTGTATGGCGTGACATGTGAGGTGTTCACGGATCACAAGAGTCTTCAGTATTTGTTCAAGCAAAAGGAGTTGAATTTGAGGCAGAGGAGATGGTTGGAGTTGTTGAAGGATTATGATATCACCATTTTATATCATCCGGGAAGGCCAATGTGGTGGCCGATGCTTGAGTAGGAAGTCAGCCAGTATGGGCAGTCTTGCTTATATTCCGGTCGGGGTGAGGCCGCTTGCCTTGGATGTTCAGGCTTTGGCCAATCAGTTCGTGAGACTGGATGTTTCTGAGCCTAGTCGTGTGTTAGCTTGCACGGTTGCTCGTTCTTTATTATTGGAGTGTATCCGCGATCGGCAGTATGATGATCCCCATTTGTGTGTCCTTAGAGACACGGTGCAGCACGGAGGCGCCAGGCAGGTTACCTTAGATGATGACGGAGTTTAAGGATTGCAGGGTCGAGTTTGTGTGCCTAATGTGGATGGGCTTTGAGAGTTGATTTTGGAGGAGGCCCATCGTTCCCGGTACTCTATTCATCCGGGTGCCGCGAAGATGTATCAGGATTTGCGGCAACATTACTGGTGGCGTAGAATGAAGAAGGATATCGTTGCATATGTGGCTCGGTGTTTGAATTGTCAGCAGGTTAGGTACGAGCATCAGAGGCCTGATGGTTTATTTCTGAGGATTGAACTTCCCGAGTGGAAGTGGGAGCTATGGACTTCGTTACTGGACTCCCGTAGACTCGGAAGGAGTTCGACGCAGTATGGGTCATTGTTGATAGGCTGACCAAGTCAGCACATTTCATTCCTATGGCATACTCCTATGTTTCTGAGAGGTTAGCTGAGATCTACATTCGGGAGATTGTTCGCCTTCAAGGTGTGCCCGTATCTATCATTTCAGACCGGGGTACGCAGTTTACCTCGCATTTTTGGAGGGCAGTTCAGCGAGAGTTGGGCACACGGGTTGAGTTGAGCACAATATTTCATCCCTAGACGGACGGACAGCCTGAACGGACTATTTAGATTTTGGAGGATATGCTCCGAGCTTGTGTCATTGACTTTGGAGGCTCGTGGGATCAGTTTTTTTTGCCTTTAGCAGAGTTTTCCTACAACAACAGCTACCAGTCAAGCATTCAGATGGCTCCTTATGAGGCTCTATATGGTAGGCGGTGTCGGTCTCCGATTGGGTGGTTTTAGCCGGGAGAGGCTCGGTTGTTGGGTACGGATCTGGTTCAGGAGGCCTTGGACAAAGTCAGGATTATTCAGGATAGGCTTCGTACTGCTCAGTCCAGGCAAAAAAGTTATGCAGACCGCAAGGTTCGAGATGTGGCTTTTATGGTTGGTAAGCGGGTATTGCTCCGAGTGTCGCCTATGAAGGGCGTGATGAGATTTGGGAAGAAGGGCAAGCTTAGCCCTAGTTTCATTGGTCCATTTGAGATTCTTGATCGAGTGGGAGAGGCTGCTTATAGACTTGCATTGCCGCCGAGCTTGCCAGCCGTGCATCCAGTGTTTCATGTGTCCATGCTTCGGAAGTATCACGGCGATCCATTCCACGTGTTAGATTTCAGCACTATTCAGTTGGACAAGGACTTGTCTTATGAGGAGGAGTCGGTGGCTACTCTAGACCGGCAGGTTCGTTAGTTGAGGTCGAAGAGTTTTCCTTCCGTTCGTGTTTAGTGGAGCGGTCAGCCTGCTGAGGCATCGACCTGGGAGTCCGAGTCCGATATGCAGAGCCGTTGTCCCCATCTTTTTCCCGACTCAAGTACTTCCTTGTTATGTCCGTTCGAGGACGAACAGTTATTTTAGAGGTGAAGGATGTGATGACCCAAAAGGTCATCACTTGTTTTTAAATTTAATTATGTGTTTCTGAGGCCTTGAGAACCTTTTTAGCCTCGCCTCGATTTGCGTGCGCAGTCCGGGCGCGTAGCCGGAAAGCTTAAATACGAAAATCTGTGAAAAATGGTAAAAATTGGCTATAAAATGAGTTAATTTGACTTCGGTCAATGTTTTGGGTAATCGGATCCGGACCCATGACTTGACGGTCCCGGAGGGTCCGTAGGAAAATATGGGACCTGGGCGTATGCCCGGAATCGGATTCCGAGGTCCCAAGCCCGAGAAATGAATTTTTAAAGGAAATTATTTTCTGAAATTTGTTTAAGGAAATTTGAAATGAAATTTGATTAGAACGTGTTTGTATCGGGCCCGTATTTTGGTTCCGGCACCCGATACAGGTCTTATATATGATTTATGATATTTCTATAAAATTCGGTGAAAAACGGACGTCGTTTAACGTGATTCGGACTTGAATTGCTAAAGGTGATGCTTTAAGAAGTTTGAGAAAAATGCTTTGATTTTGAGGTTTTATTTGTTGATAATGATGTTATTTTGGCGATTTGATCGCACGGATAAATTTGTATAATGTTGTTGAGTTAGTACGTGTGTTTGGTTAGGAGCTCCGAGGGCTCGGGTGTGTTTCGGATGTGTTTTGGGAAGTTTTGAGTTTAAGAAAAGTTGCAGATTTTCTGTAGTCAGTGCCCAGGGATTTTACCCTTCGCGTTCGCGTGGTACCACTCGCTAACGCGTAAGGC